GCAGTTAAGTTAGACAGCATAAGGCAGTTAAGTTAGACAGCATAAGGCAGTTAAGTTAGACAGCATAAGGCAGTTAAGTTAGACAGCATAAGACAGTTAAGTACACACTGCTCACTGTGTAAATGTGTATGTTTACAGTCTGTTGAGTACCTCCCTTCCTCCTCCTGGGGGTTTATGGATTAGCATGACATTCTATGTCCTTGATTTTTTAAAATTCTGTTTAAGGAAGTCTGCCCCCTGTCATTGCATGATGCCATCACCTCCAACGCAGCCAGCATCATCAGCTGCGGCCAAATCCTCCGTGGTATTAAATTTTTTATTTTTTTTTTTATTTTCACTCCAGGATCTTCTGCTCAACCTTTTCAACAGTCATCCCCCCACCCCCCTCCAGAGGAAAGTCTTATAGCACTTCAAAAAGTAAAACCTGGCCATACATTCTGTCCACTTCAGAAACGATTTTCCCCTTCTACATCAAGCTGAGATGGTCCTGTGCGTCTCTGAAATTATGGCCCCCCGCCCCTCCCCCCCATCTCCCAGTGAGATATGATGGTGCACTCACAGCACGGTGAGTTCTTCGCACGACAGCAGCAAGGAGAATTTGAAAGTCTGGATTCGATTTCCCTCAAAGTCCCTGTGGTGGACGGAAAGGGGGGCAGGGAGGAGGAGGGAGAGGAGGACAGACGCTCACAAGTACATCTTTACCAATATTCACTCAAACCACATTCAGCAAGACATTATCTTAACAAAGAACAATCCCCTCTACTTGTTCAAAACACATAACGTGAACCAGTCACCTGCAATGTACATCACACAAAAGGCAACAGGAAAGGCAACTATTGCAACAAATTTACTAATAGCCGAGGACCAATTAGGTGGGGAACTGTGCTGGATAATAAATGAATTTCCGAATTCATTACGCTCCATCGAAACCTTTTACAGAGCGACAAAGCCTAAGATAATGCACTGCACAAACAGACATAACTGTCTACTGCAGTGTTCAGGTGCCCGAACGATAATAATCACATCTGGTGACTGGGATGCATCCCCAGGCTATGTGTTGAGTGGCTTCAGGGGACTGTTGGGTTTATAACACCATAAAAATCAAAAAAATTTTAAGTTTCCAAAGACTTGGGAACAGTGATTCATTCAAAAGATATTAATGATATTCCCATTGAGTAATTACAGTTATTCAGATTATATGGGCGTGGTAAGTCACATTACACAAGAGAAAAGATACAGAAGTCTTATGTGAGGTGCTAAAAGTCATTGTTGTCTCTATACTCAAACACAAACACCTGAGGATAAAGCAGTTAGGAAGGATCTAGTCCGATGGCACCCGGAGCAACAGAAAGATCCTCCTGACTTCACTATTAAATGGCTTGATGAATAGCTAAATCTTTCTGAGTAATTTGTTTTGAGGTATAGTTAATTGCATTTATGAGTGTCTTATTATTCACAAGGGCTACTTATAAATACATCTATTAAGACGCACGCTTCCAGACTACTGAAAAGCTCCTACCCAACTGCTTCCAAAGAACTGAACTCTGTTAAATAACTGTTCGCTGCATCTAAATGCGAGGTTCTGACCTCCTGTCTTTCATCGTCACCCATGGCATCGGTGGGACAAAAATGCAATATCCCTGGGCCTCATTCCAATTACTGTAATTTATCTATTTATCTATTTACCATCATATCTATGTACTTTCACATTGTATAAATGTATTGGCAATACTGGTTTATATTAATGCTTGTGTTTTTACTTTGATATGTTTGTAGCTTAATATGTGGAGCACATGTATGTGTAGAATCTGTTTGAAGATTCAGTCTTTGTTATATTGTATATTCCATTCAGGGACACAAACAAAATTTTGTTGTACATCTGTGCAATTACAATAAAAGACATTCTATTATTTTCTATTCTATTCTATTGAACATTAGTAATTTGTTTTGAATTGTAGGTAATTGGGTTCAGGAGTAGGTAATTTGTCTTCAGAAGTAGTTAATTGGTTTGATTCAGTTCAATTCAATTATATTTGTATAGAACATTTTCACAACATTACTCTGTCTCAAAGCACTTTATCTCTGCTCAGTGGCTCCAGAGAGCAAGCTAGTGGTGACAGTGGCAAGGAACAACTTTACTTGAGGGGGCACACGTACAGTATTTAGTAGTAACTGAGTTACTACTGAATGAACAATTTCTAGAAGCTATTTGAGATTAGAGATGCATCATGATTCATTAATGACGAACAAACATGAGATCAGTATTTCGCTTGTGTTATTCATTTCTAGTTTCTAGTAATTCATTCAGTAGTTCCTTCAGTAGTTAACAAAGGTTTACATAATTAGATGTAGTAACAAATATAGCTACTGTTTGAGATAAAACATGTCACAATTTGTTAATGATCAACAAACATGAGATCAGCATTTCACTTGTGTTATTCATTACTTCTGTAGTTCACAAAGATTTACGTCTGAGTGTGAATGAGACTGTTGAGTAGTTAATTACAGATGCTGGTTGTGGAATGAAAGACATATATGAAGTTGCCAATGGGTACCAAGAAAATGACTGAGACCCCTAGCATCATTCATCCTATAAGTATACAGTATGAAGCGAAATACGGTTGAGTGTGAGATACCTACAGCCAACTCAGTGCAGGCATATGGTGGCAGAACTTGGCCTCTGGGAGTTGCTCTAAGGACGTGTTCACCATAGATCTGTTGAGACCACAAAGACCAGCATTCATTACTTTGCACCATGTGACATGCAAACACACCCACCTGCCACCTGGACAAAATGACCTGACTTATTAACTCATTTTGTGTTGCTTTTTGCAAAAAAATATCATTGGCTTTGCCTTCCACATTGGAACTGCCAGGTCATATCTATGGCGACTCAAGAGATTTTGAAGGTTTTTGGCTTGGGATGTGAAAACATAATCTCTGACACCAAACTGACACCCCTCTGGTCTTGTCTTTTAGTTCTTTCATTTGTGTTGTGTATATACAAAAAGTATTGGGATGCTTGATTAATTCTGTAAAATGTATTGGTTTCATAACAAAAGTTGATTGACAAGCAATGTTTAACATATCTTTTTATTAAGTGTAATAATTTTTTTGACTAACTCATTGTTCTTTGCTATTTTGCTATTAATTGAAATTGTGGTCACTGGCTCCCAAAGGGACACTAAACACAAATGCTACGTGTTTTATGTTTTGGCAAAGGTATTACTGATTAAATAGCACCTAATGATGTTGCTTGTTAATGAACTTTAAAACTCATAACAGCTGTTTTAGAACTTTTAATTGATTACTATTTGAAATGAATGTTTTATCTAAAAGTACTAGTTGTTCCTAATGTGATATACTTTTTGTAAACAAATGAATAAAGTAATGATTTTTGTTAGCAAACCAGTAAATTTATAATATTTTTACTGAATTAAGCAAGCGTCCCAACACTTTCTGTGAGACCTGTATACTCACTGGCTACTTTATGACATACCACTGTAATACCAAGTACCACCCCCCGTTTCCAAAACCACCTCAAAGGTGAGAGATAACTTCCTGCATACTGTTGTACTGAGCTGCTATTTTTGCACTTATGGCCTTCCTGTTAGCTTTAACGAGTCTGACCGTTCTCATCTAATCTCTCCTGGATCAGTGCATGAGAATTCAAGGAAGGTAGTTTTTCTCTGAGATGCTGGAACCAACACATATGACACCAACAATCACAACATTTGGGGTTGAGGTTGGTGAATTCACCAAATAATCCAAACTTGCACAGCTGGGTTTAACGCCATAAGGACGTGCACAGCAAATGACATCCACTTATACCGGTGACTATAGCAGCGAGCATATAGTTGGTAGTGACTTATACCCAAAGTCCCCAAGGACAGAACAGTCATTGGCAGGACCAGGCACATAGAGAATTGGAGGGGAGGGGGGAGACTGTAGTGAAACAAGGAAGATAAAACGAGCAGGGGGACAAGGAACTAAAGAAAAGAGGAGAGAGGGCATGTACAAAGGAGCAAACGAACAAAGAATGTAAGTACAATGCAGACGGAGGAGGGAACAGAATGGGTAGACATGACAGAGGACTGGAAGAGTAGGCATGAAAACAGTTTGTTTTGATCTGTTGCCATTTTGTACTCAGCAGAGACAGAAAGCGAGTGATGCGTGATGGGGACACAGTGTTGTGGGAACAGATGAAAGAGGTACTCCGAAAATCTGAGAGCTAAATTCATGCAAAATGCTCTTATGAATGATTATGGAAGTATGCGGAAAAACAGCAAAAATGTTTACGAATATTATACAGTTATAAGACCCATATGTTGGATCAGAAGTTAAACGTAATGTTATGCACGGATGCCCGCAGAATTCTCATTCATGGTATGCACACCAGTGATGAACGGGCTGATAGGTCCACGGTTATGAATCAAACAAAATATTTTTATGATATTTGAGTAATTTGCTGGCAGGTTAGTTAAAATAAAATTTTAGTGCATAAAGCAGGTTGGGCATCATTTTATCTCTTTTAATATAAGCATCCGAATTATAAACATGCTTTCGATTTTTAGCTCTGTGATGGTGTTTTAGGACACTGCTAAAAATTAAATAATAATAATAATTTTGAGAATAAATGATATTTTAGTTATAGCCTAATGTATAAATATTTCAAGATTTAAACAGTGTGCTGAGTTTGCCATTGTCCTGCAGCAATTTTCCAGAAAAATAAGCCCAAAGCAGCTTTTAATAAATGGACTTGGCAACTGTGCCCGTCTTGTGCTGCTGGTAGAGCACACAGTGTGCATACTTGGCATACAGGTGGGGCACCAATGACAGTATGTGCGTGAAGGTGATCTGGTGGCTCAGCAAGTAGTGCTGTAGCCTGAAGCCACGTCTGTGAGTTTGGAGTTTGCGTGCCCCCCCCATCCTCTCCTGAAGCCAAGCCCTGACCAGGCTACTCACAGGAAAAACAGGGACGTGAGGCCGAGGAACGTGTCCTGCAAGACCCTCTTCAAGGGATTGTCGTCCAGGATGCTGGAGATAGAGAGGGAAAAGACAGGAGGGACCATCAGGCAACCTCAGTGGAATCATTGGTGCTGGCTACCAGGAAGTGACCTCACCTGCACATCAGGGTCCACAGAACATGTCACATAACCAGCCATGACACCTCACACTTCAGAGGCGCTATACACTGAGACACACAATAGTGCTCTGAATATTTTCTTCTATTGCCTCTGAAAGTATTCAGTTTTGAATATGTTCCGCCCACTCATTCTTAAAAAAAAATAAGATGCTACTTTAATACTAACTATACCGTATATAAACACTTAGTCCCGTGACGAAAGGTGACCATACCCCCACCCCAGTTTTTGGTGCCATTGCAACTCACACACCCATCGCATTAATTCCTTGAATAGGAGCACAGATGGCACGTGGAATCAATGCAGAAAATGCGTACGCATTGTGAGCTTCGAGTATAAATCAGCCCGTCAATCAGGGGCCATTGGGATGACCCCCCCCCCCGAGACCTGTATGTGGGTTTGTATATAAATCCCAAGACCTACTCACAGCCAGTGCAATTTATGGAGGTCGTTGAATACACCAGGCCTCAGTGATGTTATATTATTCTGACTCAGGGACCTGTGAGAGAGGGAGAGTCAGTCAAATACTACAAGACACCAGTGTAGTACCTCCCCCATCCAAGAAACAAGGAGAAATCAGTCGCTTCTCCTCTTCGGCCCCATATATTCAATGGTTCCATGATGCAGACAATTCAAAGCGCTCTCCTCCACAAGAGGTTTTGACAGCTTTCATATAAAAACATGACAACATTCCCCTGGAAGGCAAAAGTCGGAGGACCCAGAGAAACTCTGGCGGGGGTTCGAAATGTCAGCGCAATGAAGCATTACAGATTTGGGGTATGTGAGGTTCACTTTGACCACATTTATATCCGTCTCGTCGCTCCAACTGATACGGAGGCCGGAGACTCCCCACATCAGGGGGAAAGTCTGTTAATTTATAAGCAGATGAGAGAGCCTGGAGAAGCGGCACGATCGGAATCGAAATTTATGTCGGTACACGGACCCCCCTGTGGACCACAAGTCAGCCTTTTACCTAATAAATCTCCTTTCATAATGGCCACATCTTCAGAACTGTTATTTCGAACCCATTAGTATGATCTAATGATGAAAGACTTTTTTTTTTTCAAAGGAGCAGCTGTGCTGGACCACGTTTGCACAAGTAACAATGAAGAACAACATATTAAATTTAAAACGGGTGAGAACTAGGTATGTGTGTGTGTGTGTGGGGGGGGGGGGAGTGGTCCTGCCCATTAAGTGAAAGTGAAGGTGAAGCACAAGTCGTACTCACAGTTTCCGGAGCTGGTGCAGTCCTCTGAATGCCTGGCTGGACACAATCTGTATGCCATTGTTCTGGAGGAATCTGTCGTGTTAAAAACCATGTGATCAATGCTCAGTGTGCTGCCATAAAGCCACTATGTATTCTGACATTAATTTTATGCACGTAACATATTTTGAAGAAGAATTTAAAAACAAATCTCATTATTTATTTCGAAGCAGCGTTTCAAAACAACATTAAGCAGCTTCACGGCATTTAGCAAGATGATAAGTCGTTGGTCTAATATGAAAGATGATGGATAAAGTGCCAAAAGGGTCCCACTGCAGTAACCATGACTAAATTGCTATCTCCATAGCTCCAAAGGGTCCCACTGCAGTAACCATGACTAACTTGCTATCTCCATTGCTTCAAAGGGTCCCACTGCAGTAACCATGACTAAATTGCTATCTCCATCACTCTAAAGGGTCCCACTGCAATGACCATGACTAAATTGCTATATCGATCGCTCCAAAGGGTCCCACTGTAGTAATCGTGACTAAATTGCTATCTCCATCGCTCCAAAGGGTCCCACTGCAGTAACCGTGATTAAATTGCTATTTCCATCGCTCCAAAGGGTCCCACTGCAATAACCATGACTAAATTGCTATATCCATCGCTCCAAAGGGTCCCACTGCAGTAACCATGACTAAATTGCTATCTCCATCGCTCCAAAGGGTCCCACTGCAGTAACCATGACTAAATTGCTATCTCCATCGCTCCAAAGGGTCCCACTGCAGTAATCGTGACTAAATTGCTATCTCCATCACTCCAAAGGCTCCCACTGTTAAAAAAATGTACACATTATATGGCTAGATGCGGTCAGCTAGCCAAAATCAACCGTGCAGTGTTGACTCAGAGCATTGTTCCCTTAATGAGCTTGTGCTTAACCAATTAACCACAGAAGGCCTGTTTCTGATCAGGGTCAGAACCTAAACTCTCATAGTCTGTTTTCAGCTGAACAGCACTTGACAGCAGCCAGAAAGCGATCAGCATCTGATGTCTCATTCAGAGAGGAGCTTGGGGACTTCACGACAAAACTGTGATATGGCTCAGACAGACGAAGTTTCCCGGTTCCCAGCGGGGTTCCGGTCCTGGCCAAACAGGCCCCGTTTGTGTCAGGCCAGATCACAATTTGGACCAAGTCGACACCGTTTCTGTTTGGACAGATTGTGATTACAACCACTCTGGGACCCTTTTCTGTTTGGATAAGATGTTAATTCTAAACAGACTAAACTCAGGCCAATTACTTATTGCTTTACAGCTGTGCTGAGAATGAATAATGTCTGCAAATATTGATTCCACTTTGTTCTACGTCTGTAACATAATTTTTTGATGCTATCATACTACAGGGTGATTAATGTATCCAAAACCAACAGCAAGCAACACAACACATCCCTAATACCACATAACACTTACTGCACATACTGATGGGTCAATGCTTTTATTTCCAAATTTTTTTAAGGCACCTATTATTTGCACAGACCTGCAAAGCGCTGAGAACATAAGCACGCACCATTAAAACATAAATGTAAATGTTCTGTCCCTGGGCAGCTCTGAGTGGTACCCACTCAGGAGGTCGCTGGTTCAAATCCCATGGTCAGCAGAGTGCTTTTAAAAAATATATATGGCTTTGGATAAAAGCATTGGCTAAAAAAGAAAAAGAAAAAGTTTAATCCGGCTATTTCCATACAAACAATCCATTTCCCTCCATGCCAAGCGCTGTGCTCTGCACTGTGCATTTCGTGTTCCCAAGGACTCATGACATACTACACTAAAGTGAAACTGACCGCTCTACAAACTGAATATGTTATGGTACAAGCGCCAGAGAGGCTCCTCGAATTAATGAGACAGAAAGACAAACTGATGCGAGTGCGTGTTGCTTTTGGTCGAGCCAGAGTGGAAAAACTCCTCTTGACAACCTGTCTTTCGCTGTCAGAAACTAAACATTCCCTCTGAACTGTAAGCTGCAGACACACCAGCATGAGGAGATTAAATGTGCAGGAACTCAGATTTCTGCCTGTTTCAATTCATCACAAGAGTGAAAAATGTTTATGGCAGGAAAGTACAAAACAAAACACCTTAGGGGTGACATTGCAAATCACGCCGACCTCAGGGCCCCTGCCTGTCCTTTAAAATCCCAAACACTGGGTCCAAAAGGCAGGAGAGCACCAACACACTCTCAGCATCTCCCCAGGTGAAGAAGACACACCCACTGATTCAGTGACATGCCCACTCATCCTCTCTCCAGTACTTTATCATCAAGTGGTGGCTTTTGCTGGTCGCTGAACAACAGAATGGAAGTCTGGGCTGGAAGTCTGGGATGCTCTTTCAAACAGCCCATCACCTCAAAAAAAAAAAGAAATAAAAGGAGAAAACTCTAGTGTATAAACTTTTTTGACTTTCTGAAAAAAAGAAAAAGCTAGCCAGAAAATGCCACCATCTACTGGAAAACCAAAAGTGCAGGCCTGGTGGATAAAATCGGGGGACAGTCAAAGGGCAGATGGTGTGTGCTCTGGTGCAGTGATTCATGGAGCTGGTTGGGATGCAGGTCGTATGTCATCCTCGCTTACCTCTCCAGATTCAATGACCTCATAATACAAATATGAGGCCATGCGGACAAGGTACCTTCGGAACGACACCTGCTGACACCCCTCCCCCCCAACCCCCAGATCTTCTGCACTCTCGCCAACAAAGCGACCTCATATTCTTACCCCTCTAAGCTGCTAAAGTGCAACCCGGGAGAGACCTCTCATTGCACTCTTGCATAACGCTGGGCGAGGAGTTCTTGTGCACACTCTTGTGAACCACTCCTCTTTCAGTCACAGATGGGTAAAAGCAGAACATCCACCAGTAAGTAACATCATCAATGTCATCATAAAGGTCAAGGTTCAAAGGTCGTAAAAGGTCTTAGTGTTAGGTGTATTGCCTACTCCCCCCCCCCAATCATACTCACAGTCTCTGCAGTTCGGAGAACATGGAAAAGACTTCATCCTGCAGCTTTCGGATTTCATTACTCCTAAGGGATCTGCCCGCAGACACAAGGCACAAGGTGACTGTTACAGCGGAAAGGAAAATGTCTGTAAAGTTCCATTTTTGTAGGAAAAACATGTATCTGGGATATTACTGTTAACGAATGCTAAAGCTGAAAATTACAAGAAAAATCTTTTCACAAACTGAAATAAAGGAAAGAAAGATTAAACATTACAGCTAAATGAAAACTATAAATATTGCTTCTGGAATAAAACTGAAATAAAATTAAGTAAAAACAAACTTCAAACACTTAACATTAATACTCTTTAATTAAAGTAAGCTTAAGTTTATGCTTAATGACCATTAATAATTCCTCAAACACGTTTTCAGGACATCGGCACATACTGTGGGCAGGGTATTACTGTAGGACTCTCTAAAGATCAGATAAATAGCTTTACAACTTATAAATAAAATTACCAAAACATAAACCGCGACTAAAATATGTAAAAACTAGTAAAAACCACAGGGAACATTAACCGAAACAAAACTGAATTTCAAATAAAAATTGAAAATAATAGAAAAATAAAAACTGAATTAAAAAAATCCTGCCGTGTATATATGTAACAAAAGTAGAATGTACTAAAAAAATCTAAATCTAAAAAGACCTCATCATGATTTTGTGTAGATTAAGTGAGCAGGTGGTGAAATTTAATAAACACATGGAACGGCTGAGGTGCCCCTGAGGAGAGGTTTGGGTGCTGAAGCTGTGTTCATCTAACCATCCAGCAAGGTGTCAGTAACTTCTTGGAGAACAGAAGAAATTATTACTAGTTTTTATTGTGTTACTCATAATTTGCACATGTTCTAATGTTAAATTGTGTTTTTTTTTTATTCTGAGCAAAGGTGCACTTACTATCCAGATAAATAGCATTAAACATTCCTAAATCTGATGAACACTGGGCTCAGAGTAAAACGGCCTAAAAATGATTCTATCTATTTTTATTCTGAATCGCATCACTCCGCTCTATCTTAGACTTGAAACACTTGCACCCCTTGCCATTCGGTACTCTACTCAAGTGCATTCCTATAGGAAAACCAATCCACACACCCCCAGTTCCTGGCCACTCCCATATATATATACATATAAATACTCGATCAAAAAAGTTACATAAAGTATTAAACTTTGAGTAATTCATAATACAATCAAGATGAGTGGCTGCATACACATGGTCCTCCGCTGAGCACCAATAAACCTTAAGTGGGCAGCAGCTTCCATGTGCTCAGGGAACGAGTTGTACGGTATTTCTCAGAGACTTACAGCGAAGTTACATTGGCCGACACCAGTGGCACCTCCTTAAGCTTCAGACTGACGCATTGGAGACTGGTCTCGATGCAGCTGCAGTGCTCTGGGTACTGCTCCAGAACTGTGGGAGAAGAAAATTGATGACAGGAGAGGTAGGTAGGGATTATAAAAGGAGCTTTTAAAATATCTGTGCTCTAACTTCAAGCGACATTGACTCACGCCGACCCATTTCTTCATCTAAGATTCTGGATCCCATTTGTGCACATGGTACACTGCCCACACGCCCATGGAGTCTCACTCACAGCAGCCTCTGCGGAACTCCTGAGGAACCATCCTCTTGATGGTCTGGTCAAAGAAGGCTGCCCAGCCGCTGTTGTCGCCTGCAGGAAGAGATGCCCGCTTCACATAAAGACACATAACACCACCAAAGCCAATTATCAGCTAAGATTTCTCAGCTCGAAGCTAATTGTTGCCTAAGACTTAAGCCGGGGTCTTTCACACCAGAGATGCACTTAGAGAACTTGCCGACCTGGCAGCATGGTATCTGCAGTTATGCTGGAGGGCTACCACTCACACTTAAATGAATCTGTGTCTTATGATCCGATATTCATGACTCCATTTATGGCCGGGAATTGTCAGCGGCAGAAGCAGATGTAATGAACAAGCATTCCACAGTAATGCAAACTTTGAAAAGTCTTTTAGAGTTCACCATTCTAGGTAGTAGATCTTTCATGCTGACAGAAAACATAGCAATAAGGTCTTCCCGACAGAAATGGCGTTTGACAGGAATTTAGACTAACAGTGTACAAATGCTTTTACTCACCAGCAGCCTCTTCTACAGCTGATCAACAGCTTTGATCAGCTTCTACTGCTGATCAACAGCTTCTACAGCTTTACACTCCCTGTTCCAAGATACAAGTGGTATTCCAGCTTTACTGGCAAGGTAATGACCTGCTGCCGGTCTGTATAAACTTGCAAAAAAATAAATATTCCTAAGCATTCTAATTCAGCCCACAAGATGATTTTATAAGTGCATACACTGATTTGAAATATCCCGCTATTTTAAGTTTAACCTTTTGAGGGGGCATAAGAATGCTTAAGCAATGCAATATTCGGCACAACTGCCAAGCTCACTGCGCTAAAAAATTCTAGCAGCTTGCAAGGACAACTGGGAACGAACAAAATGAACTTGTCAGCACCGAAGAAACAGCAGAACGTTTTTAATTGCAGCTGGGAGACCAGTGATGCAGCTGTGAAAGCTAGCTACTGTAGAGCACACACTGACAATAAGTTTGTGAAAGCTAGCTACCGTAGAGACGCAGCTGTGAAAGCTAGCTACCGTAGAGCGCACTCTGACGATAAGTTTGTGAAAGCTAGCTACCGTAGAGACGCAGCTGTGAAAGCTAGCTACCGTAGAGCGCACTCTGACGATAAGTTTGTGAAAGCTAGCTAACGTAGAGACGCAGCTGTGAAAGCTAGCTACCGTAGAGCGCACGCTGACGATAAGTTTGTGAAAGCTAGCTACCGTAGAGACGCAGCTGTGAAAGCTAGCTACCGTAGAGCGCACTCTGACGATAAGTTTGTGAGGACATGCACACTCAGTGTTGCAGAAATTGTGGTGCCCATCAAGAATCAGGCCTTCTCTAGCATAATGCAAATATTATTTCGGATGTTATAAAATCTTCAAGGAGGACAACCCCCACTGGAACAGAAAATAATTCCGAATTTTCCAGGCAGTGGTGCCTGCAAAACGTTTTGATTGGGGTGGCCATCAGGGGGCTTTATTTATGAGGGTGGCTGCACCACACTGTGTCTGTTCTATGGTTCTGCTTAAAACATAAAATAATACATTTTTAATTTTTATTATTTTGATGGAGGGTGACAACAGGGGTGGTCATGCCTTCACTAGGCACAATCCCAGGCCATCCCTTAGATCCGCCTCTGTTCCCAATGCGAATTAAGTTCCACATGTCTTCACTGCACAGTAAGCGAGGAAAAAGAAAACTCTCCAACTTGTTTCAGTCTTTGTTCGTCACTTGTAAGAAAAGTATATAACAATCTGCCGACAGAGGGGATGCTGATTTGTGGATTACTGCGTTAAAACAGTCTTCTTGTGATGTCAGAGAGCTGTTCTGCTCAGTAGGCCAATTTATAGAGCAAGCCTAATGTAAAAAACTAATTTACAAAATAAAAATCTGGAATGGTGAAGTTCATTTAACCCTCAAATATTAACTTTGTGAAGTAAAGATCAACTACCACATCTTAGACAAAACCTGGCTACACATAATGGACACAGTAGTAATGATCATTCTAGCATTTTTTTGGCGGGTCATTAGACCCAACTTAAAAACAAGACCCAACTCTTTCAGTTCCCAAGCAGTCAACCATTCAACAGAATTCTGTTTCCGCTTGAACCGTCCAGCAGAATCTTACAGTACTCTACATTCTGTGCAACAACTTAACATTATTTTGCATAATGTTCTATCATTAGATGCTGTCCGTCCATAAAGGAAGAAACAGCATAACAAACTAACAAACAAACAAATAATTTGGCTCCAAATCTAAGTCAGACGTCAAAGGATCGCATCTAGCCTAAGCCAAACATATGTGTATTCATATAAAACATAAAAAAAAATTACTTTGGCGAGCTGCTAAAGTTAATTTGAGACAGCCGACTTGTTCTAGAACTTTTTCAGTGGGCCCCATAAACAGTAAACTCTCCCCTGATTGGGGGGGGGGGGGGTAACAGATGCAGGATGTATTTACATTTGCACATGTTCTTACTTGTTCCGCTTTAAATGTGCATTACCAGTCCTTAGCTATTCCTCGTTAGTTACCTACATGTCACCCACGATTTTGATGCCTTGTGTCCCCACAACCCAAAATAAATTTAAAAGGTTACAAGTTATTCCATTTTTATGTAATCCTGCTATTAAGGTGCAGTGCAATTAAAGTCATACATATCACAGCACCCACGATAGAGACGTCTGAGAAAAACCAACTGAAATAGGCAAAGACAAGAAAAGGGAGAAGTTCCACTGAACACCGCGGACCTAGTAGTTCAGAGAAAACCCTGCAGTTCCCAGCCTATTTTATCTTTCCTATGCATTCTTTTGTGACAAGGGATATAGTATAAAACTCTTAAAGTAACATCTCGATAGGAAACTGCTGTTCCCCTCAAAGAATATGGTATAAATCATTTTAGGGATTTTATTGCTGTGGTCCATATGAGGCTTGGTTTAGTGAGAGGACGGCAATATTTAGAAACTGAACATTTTCCTTTTTTGTTTCCTTTGCTTAATGCTCTGCTGTACATACTTTCTAATGGCGAAAGCCACGAAAGTCATTTGTGAAAGACGTAAGTCCCTGGAAACAGCAGATACGAGGGGACTGAGGAGTAGCCTAGGATCGCACAAGTAGGCCAAGTCAACTTTTAAAACTTCTGAAAGCGCCGATGTTGCCGTGCAAGTTCCAGATCCATAAAGATCATGCTTCAGTGCTTTTTATTTCTTTTATTGTACTTACGTGCTAAGACTAATACAGTAGCTCTAGGTTATGTTGATTGGTGGCTTCCTTGTGTTTGTGGGACTGTCGTAAATGCCTAGCACTTATCTTGTCAAGGGCATTTTACACTTTAATGCTTATTTCCTATCTGATCTTATTCAGAATTACTGCTCCGCTTGCTGCTTGACAAATCTTCTACAAGATTTGGCCAAGCTGTTGCGCTCCATAGTCGGGGGAGCAAAGCGATTTCTGCCGGCAATGTACAGAACAATAAATGAATATGTGACATCGCAGCGGAGGCCTTGCTTCTGCGCTGAGAATTTAGATTTATCGGTAATCTTGAGCAGCCTGCACACAGCTACATTTAGGGGAGGTCGGAGTTTTACGTGCGAGCGCTGCGTACGACTGCGGCCCACTTGGCTTCCAGCAACAGCAGCAGCAGTCTAGGCCTCCTAATTCCATACCTGCTACAGACCAAAAACCTGCTTTCTGGATAATTGAAAGCAGAAATGTCAAAGCTGAGGGGGGCCTTGAAATTCATTAGGCTTTTCAATCATTTCCATCCGGCCTCCCATATTTATTTTTTTTCCGACTGTTGTGCAGATTCGTTTTCGGCCACAGACTTATATCGCACGTTTCATTGTTACTTAATAATAATTTCCCAAATGTATTAAGTCCAGGGTCGGCCTAGCCATGTGGCATACTGGGCATTTTTATGGTGGGCTGGGAAAAGTTATTGTGGGGACCCCCCCAAGTCAGCAACACTTATTGTGGATATATAGGGCCTATGAATATGTGGTGAGCCTGTCTAGGCAAAAGTCCAGACCTGAATATGTCTGGTACTTTGAATCTAAGATTATTTATTTCTTCCATCGATCCCTGGATATTCTACACCTATTCTACACCCATTTCTCCTATTCACGTTCACAGTAATTCATTTATTTTTTTGGTGTTAATATTATAGGGTTTTACAGAGAAAAGACCTTTTTAAAAAGCACTTGAAAATCCAGAACTTGAAAAATGAAATCCAGTTGACATTTAAAATGCTTAATCTCTTAATCTGTACCAGACAAACTGCAAGGAGATTGATGGATAAATTTAATATGCTATTTATATTTATCTCACTAATGATGATGAAACACTATTTGGGAGATTATTTGGGATATATCATGGACTACTTAGTGAAGTTTAATGAATGTTTTGGACATTAAATATGACATCTAGTTTAACAATAAGTTTGATCAGTTGAAGTTGAAGTTGATCCACCCTAACCACAAAGATATGAATATTAAGCTGGAAAAATAGTCTTAGACTGACTCTTCTAACTTACCACAGTTCTCCTCATCTGCCCCATTCTGGCAGTCTGCTTGGCCATTACACTGGAAAACTTGGGGCAGGCAGACACTCAGATTGCCACATGGAAACTGGCCAAGGGGACAGCCCTCTACTGCCGCCCTGCTGGCCATCATTGCCTCCCCTGTAGGAAAAAATACAACGGCTGATTGAAAGAACTATTGGAAAAACAACCAGAGTTACTGAAAATTACATGTATTTTTGTCGCATTTTCTAAAAAAGATTTCTTATACAATATAATAGGTATAGTTCATATATTTTCAGGAAATGCATGCAATTTTTAATGATGCTAATTTAAATTGTGAAAAAAATTCAGTTATTGAGCATTTAGCCATAAGGACAGGGCTGGTATATTTGGCATGTTTGTATAAATGCATGGTGTATTTTATTTTTGGGATTCTCAGTGTACTCATTGCAAATGAACCAACTGTTGCAATTTACCAAGACTGAAATTTGCAACATGGCATGTTTTTAACACCTCGGAATGGCAGCAGGTGCTTATAGAATTAAAATACAAGTTTCAGCCTTGTACGAGAGAATGCTTTAAAAACATGTCATCAGAAAATTATCTTTAAATGGAAACAATATTCAATTATTGAAACATTTTCTTAGCTATTTAAATGAATTAATTTTCCGCACAATATTGTGCGTAACTCAAAGGTTGTATAGGTACCGTTATTGCATTACGGTGTACTCATAAAAATGCAAACTGGCACAGAAGTATGTTCAATTAAATGCAACCTTGCTGTGCTTTGTAGTAGCCAGCTGAGTAGCACACACTCAAATATTAAGGCAGCACAATAGTCTTTGCAGTGAGAGGAAAGAAGATAATAGCTTAGTATTTAAGTGGACTCCCAAATATGTGCATAATTATGTGGTAAGTTTAACTAGTCCACGTTTAAGATTTATATGGTTTAGACTAAGAGTTGGGTGCATTGTGTGGTTACGTAAAAGAGATACCCTGTGTGTTTTGGAGGAGAAATATGCAGGATGCAATAACAGAGGTCCAGTTCCTTATCACACATAATTAGTGGTTTTATTAGTTCACTCTGTAATCTATGACATTATATATGAAGTATAATTTTTTATAAATAGATATATGCTTTTTGCTGGAATAGATTATTTTGCTTTGATAATTATATAATTGTTTCCTGATATTATAAGATACTTGCTTTGTCATTAATGCTTGATGGGAAGACTCCCATAAATTGTGCATTGCCCTGATATAGTGAAAATTGACTCCCCTTTCAAGATAAATTATATGAAATACTGGTCATGTGACTGACTGCAGATTGCTAAGCACTGCAGCAATCCATTAAGGGCAACACAACTTTCCCTTTCACCTAATTCAGACTGTCAAAGGAGGCTTATTTATAAGTCTCTGAGCAAGGAAAGAGATTTTTCCAGATGGATAATGCGAAATAAGATAAATGGAAATGTTTTTTCACAAACGTTTAATTTTAACCCCACTGTTCATCACAAGTGTTTTTAATTTCCCATACTTCATATTTTTCAGTCCCCAGGGAAACAGTAAAGTATAAAAAAAGTAGTTTTGTAAAAGCATTCACAAAATTGCACATAGCAAGGCAGATACAGTGGTACCTCAGAACTCAAACTTAATCCGCTCAGAACTCCGGATCGAATCCTAAAAAAAAAAATATTTTTTATCGAATATTCCCCTTAAGAAATAATGGAAAACCAATTAATTGGTTCCCAACCCCCCAAAAAATAACACCTAAATGTTTTTTTTTTTTTTTTAGCATTTAAACACAAAATGAAACGGATAAAACAAGAAGAGCATATACTGTACTAAACACATCTAAGCACATTTATCAAAACAGTAATTTGTAAAGTAAGAAAATAAATGTATCCAAACAATGTGTACGGTTAAGAAAAAAAACAACTATGTGTCCTGCCCCGATCGTCGGCTCCTTCCGGGTGCCACGCCCCCTCGTTAACCCCGTGTGATCAGCTGTTTCTGGCTGTTTTCATTAGCCCTCTGTATTTCCTCCGCGTTTCAGTTAGTTTCCCCAGTCCGGTCATTGTATTGTCTGCCTTACAAGACAATGTAAGGCAGACATGTAATGTAATGTTTTTTTAAACCCCGTATTCCCTGATACCCTGACATCTGCGCCTTTGTCTCAATTCCGTTCCCGCTTGGCACGACAATATTATTATAATTAAATGTATTAATGGTTTATTATTAATATTAAACTAATGAATAAGAAATCTTTATTTTTAAATGTATTTTATTATATAATAATAATTACTGTTACTGTCTATCATTGTCTAAATGTATTTTTACTGTCTAAATATGTGTATTCAGCTAGTGTAAACATGCACGATTATATCGCAGGGAATGCCAGGCTGAGACTGAAGCGTTACCCTTTGTTTCCTCTGAGCGACGCGCATGACTCATTTCCCCGCGCGTAGAAGTTATCTTAGGTCGGCGTTCACGGTTTGACTTCTGAGATTCAGATCGAGCTCTAGGTAATTTTTTTTCAAACTAGTTGGTTCGACTCTTAAAAAATTCGAGTTCTAATGAGTTCGAGAACTGAGGTACCACTGTAAATGGAAGCCAGAAAACCCAATGCTGAAGGGAGTGAAAAATAAATTTGTCATTGCTTAGTTTATAGTGTTTGTTTCCTTTTTTTCTTGTATTCTCCAAGTATTTTCAACATTGATTTTTTTTTACCTAGTTTCAACATGCAACATAGATGTAAGATGAACTGTTAGGCCAATAAAATAAATCTGTAATTTAATCTCTAGGTGTCACGATCTGTCGCTGTCAGGTCTGTTATTTTCCCATTTGGCCAGCAGATATCGCTGGGCATCCAGTTTTGTTCCTAATTAGCCTCACCTGTTCCCTGTTAGTGTCTGATTTATTGTTTATGGCCTCACCTGTCGCTCGCATAGCCCTCATTTTCACAGTATGCATGTGCCTGCTGTGGCCTTGTTCCTTTGTTGGTCATTATTTGTGTTAGTGTTGTCAGTGTTTGGTAGATATCGAGTGTGTTTCCTCTGTGTCCCCTTCTGTCTACTCCTAGCCTTTGTCAGTTCTAGTCCTTATTAGTCTCACTTACAGTATATACCTGCCCATGTTTGACCCTTTGTGATCCCTTTTTGTTTTCTGGCTTCTTTGTATTCAGTTAATAAAACCCCTTTGTTCTCTAAACCTGCTTACTGGATCCCTCTTGAGATTCCACAACACCCCCCTCAGGTTAATGCGGGTCTTCCTTTTTGGAGCCAAGACCCAATGCTGACAAGTGGGGGGACATTTATAAGGCTTATATCTCTGTACCCATAACCCACACCCAATGCCAATTACTGAGCTCTCAAATGTCTCACTCAGGGAAAACATCTATTATTGATAAAAACATTAATGTTGATTTACCTCCAGTGCTATCCATCAAAAATTCAACATGAAAAACACGTATGCACGAAAATTATCAAACACAATAAGGGCTGCTGCTCAGGCGATCGTGTCTAAGAGCCGTTCATTTCATTATTATTTCATTCTAACCTTGTTTTTCTATTACTTACTAAGTGTTTTGTCCATCTACTATAAGTTGTGTGCGAGATGAAATATATGAGTTAGTTATTAATCGAGCCTGGCCCCATGCACCCACTTTGCAGTGCCAAGCTTTCAATTGGGACTTTTAATAATGAGAAATAAACCTCTATATGTGGGGTTGGTGGATGTATTCAGAAGGAGGGGGAGGGGCCGTACAGACTGTTCTCCTCAGGGTGACTAAGTCCATGAATAATAAGTGACCATCAAGGTTGTGAGTAGGTCTGCAAACAAGTTGTGTTTGCAACTATCAGTCTATGGTACTTGGGTTTTTAAATTCTTTATATTTGATGAAGGTACACACTTAAATCTTCTTTCATACCCCTTTTTCACATTTATAAATTCACTGCACAGATTAAGCTTTATGTTCCGTGGGTCTGCCGTACACCAGTCGGGGGTAACTGGGGCCACACTGGTCAGCGGTAACTGTTGTTTTCCTCACCGTCAACTAAGAAGAGCCAATGGGCTTAAAACACATGCTAGGAAGAACTCAGAGAGAAGGGAACGGAAGGCAAGTTGTGCATGGCTGCTTCTGCAGTGGATCGATGCACATGTGCTGCCCCCTACCTGCAAGGGGAATACTGGATGATGTCTACCACGAATGGACCACCTCCTCATACCAGACCCTCCTTTTGTACAGTGTTCCCCTTATTCCCTCAATAATCCTTGTCGCTTGAAGGGCTGTTGCCTGCACCCTTGTCTCCCAAGTCTCCTTTGCCTGACACAGGTACTAGAATGGATTGTGAGGTTCATAAAGCATTCATAATGCATAATAAACATGGCTATAATGTGTTATGCCTTTTCATAAATATCTATAGCTGTATTTATAATGCTTTATGAATGTATTGTAATGTGTTATGAATGTGTTCATAGATTCTTATAGACATAATACTCAAAGAAAGTGTAACCAACTTTTGTAATGTTTCTCCAGTGTGTTGAGGTTGGATGAATTAACAAGCAATCAAGGTGCCACACGTTGTGTAAGGCAGGCAACCAAATGGAGGCCAACATACCGTGATCATCGGCAGCCATTTCTATATGAATTCCACGCCAGTATGATGCCACAGATAAAAAAAAAATTGCAATCACCACAGCAGAGAAACCTGGACTTGCACTTCTGCCAAACCTGGCGGGAGGACATCAGTGCCAGCTGACAGGCAAGACTTCCCGTTGATCGACTGCATTGATCCACGGAAAAGGCCGACTGCCAGTGTAAGTGCAGCAGCAACCCCTTTCAGTTCCCCACAGGGGTCAAACAAGAAGCATCAGCGGCTGCCTGAGCACCTTTGCAGTGTCCCAGTCTGATAGCGCTACTGAATTCAGCCTAATGCTATTTGTGCACTGGGTGACACTAGTCTTCGCAGTTACATAATGGCCCAGACATTGGAAGAAACCAAGAACTTCCACTGACAGAACAGCAAAGGCAGATAAAATAAAACTGCATGCTTTTATGACACAATAGACACATAAAACACTTCGGATTCACTTTAAAAACTTGCAGATTATGCGGTAACTATTCCTGCCCTTTCCAAACATTATTCATGTAATTGCAG